AGTAAAGAAATAAGAATAGCTTTCCCAAGTTTTTTATTTCAAATAATAAGTGAATGAATAATTAAAAGACTGGTACTCAAAAATAAAGGCTGGTACTTAAAATGGAAAAAGTAAGTGAATCCTTTAAATAAGAACTAGGCAATGTCATCTAAAATACAAAAGCAATTTAAAAGCCACACAGAACGATGTAGTCTTGTTTAATGGTACTCTGTACGTATCTTTGAAGTTTAACCAACTGAAAACTGCTCTTGACATTTGATCTATTGTCCAAAAAAAAGACTTATCGCTGCAACAGAAGCAAACAAACAGGATGGGAATACAGGATTGGTTAAAGCTTACTCGATACTACGCCAGAGCCTCGTTGGTTCGTTAAATAACAAAACAACATGCGGCGACGCTGCTGACAAAACTCACGATGTCTGGATCGTAAATTCGCCACTATCTCATATTTAACACGCACTTATGAAACGATTATTAAACAATGATACGCTAGCGAGCTATCTTCGTGCACTTACACTTTCTTTAGCATTGTCAGATTTCCGAAGGTATATTCTTTGATCGAACTCAGTTGATTGCTCGGCAAATCCCTAAGGAGGAAAAAAATTGGTGAGGAAGCGTTGTAGTACAAAAGGATTTATTAGAAATGAAAGCTATCGATTGTCTTTGTTTTTCAGTTTCCTAATAAGATCTAATACAAAGACATAGTTGCACGAAGGTACTCACAGTATTGCCGTATTGAGTGGAAGGTCACGTGGTACGTGTGTAATTCTGCTGCACTTAATACTGATTCGATGGCTAAACGGTTTGCATTGACAACTTCTTGGATGAAAATGTTTTGGACAACAGAAACCAGAGGCCATGAGCCAGAGCACCAAAACTAGAGGTGCCAAAGGATTGAATATCAATGATCGGATTGAAGATACCTTCCTCATCTGTTCAAACGAAACAAACATGTAGTCATCAAACAGTCTGAAAACTGAAAATTGAATTTCAAAAGAGTTAATGAACCTAGCTTCGATAAATTAACCTGTTTTGCTTTAATCAATGTTTTTATCAAGATGTAAGATATAAAGTTCCAGGTCGCTCGGCTTTAATTGTCAGTTTACCCCAGGCCTAGTTCATTCCTAACTGCGATATTCAAATGAAAGAAGGAAGGGTTATCCAAACAACAACTGCAGAAGCGGAAAGACCGGTATCGGGACTTTTACCTCTTGAAACCAGTCTAATTAGGTAATTAATACGCATTAAGGAAATGTCATTTACATTTACATTTTGCTTAGCCAGGACATAATCCGCACAACTACAGGGTTTGATTGCCATTTCATTCAGGTCATAAAATTGAATTTGAAAAATCTGAATATCAAATATAGTACTGAAAGTTTGGCAAAGATATCGTTGCATACTTGTAATGGTCAGTCAGAAGGATATATCCAAGAGCTTCTACGGTTGAGGAGGAGCGGCTATTTTCGAATGTTTGAGCTTTCTCAGGGTTTTACCAGAGCGAATTCGTATAACCCGTTCGTTGCACGCATACGTGTAGTCCTTATGAATATTCTTGCCTTTTATAGTATTGTTTGACTGATTAAAAGTACCCAACTGTGCTCAATTGTTCTTGTCATTTGCCTATAACGAATGCTTCATTAGCATATGACGAAAAGGCCTTACGTGTGCGAAATGTTGGAAACTGAAAGTGACTCAAATCTTAAGTTAAATTAACAAGTCCCTTTTGAAATTTTGAATCTTCATTTATTTACGAGAGTTCTTAACAGCAGCTAGTTTTCATGATAAATAGGCAAAGATAGTAATTTACAGGTTTTGTCTAGCTAGAGATTATAAAAAAAAAAAGAGAAAAGGAAAGACAAACGTTTTGAACAGAGTTCATTTCACATGACCTCCTGGCCATCGTAAGAAAACAATGATCGAAAGTGATCGCAGGTATACAAACAAAAGAAACTGAAAAAAACATGTTCCTGGGGTTTTTTTCTTTGGGCTGAAAGCAAGGACAAACGCATTAGCGTTTGATGTGTTACATTGTGTAACGAGAGTTCATTCTGCATGACCTGGCCCTTGTAAGAAAATACGAATCGAAATTGATTGAAGGTATACAAACAGAGGACACTGAAAAAAGCAGGTTCCTGGGGTTTTTCTCTTTAAGCTGAAAGAAAGAACAAACGCTGTGACGTACATATAGCTTATGTTACAACTGGGTTTTACATGTAGTACTACCGTTGACAAGCTGCAATTTATGCTCTTAGATTCTCAGTGTTTACGTGGACAGAGCTGAATAATGAAATGCGGCGTTAGAGGGTATGCGCTCAACAACACGGGCAAAAGTGTCCTTGGTCTAAAATTTAGCGAAATTAGCGGAAAATAGCAAAGGGTAACTTTCAAAACCGAGGAACTCTGTTTTCGTTGAAAACATTTTCTTATTTCCAGAGGTTTTAAGGAGAAAATATTTTTTTAAAATTTTGAGGAGGTATACCAAGTTTTTGGAGGTTGTTCTGTTAAAGAAAAGCGGCAATGAAAACGACGCCTCGAAGGAACAATAGGAAATCAACCGTGCGAACGACCCAAAATCCCTGTTTCCGTGGCAAAACCTAGCGGATGCGTGCACGTTATTCATCTCTGTCGTTTACGAGCCTTCAATCAAAGTTTTACTCGTCCTTTTTTTTATTTGTTTGTTTTTAGGTTGTTTTTACTTCAGAATGCGCGGGGATCTGCTGAAATATCATAAAATGTCCATTTCTCGTCTTATTTTCAGCGACCGATGGAAACTTCATGGAGAAATTGAGCGTTACGTCATCGTGATAACATATACGTTTATGACAAATGACCAGTGATGGGATAGTTTCGTGTAGATTAGCCCAATTTAACATGTTTCAAATGACATACAAGTACAACAGTGTATCTTTAGAGGATTTTAGATTGCTAAAATTCCCATGGAAGAAGGTGCAGCACTCGGAATCTGGATGGTGTGCAAACGATTTGAACACGATACGTTTGTAGTTACGTCGAGTAGCCCCCGCTAAGGCGGACCGATATTTTTAAAGATGGCAACCAGAGGCGCGATTTCCCTTCGGGATATTACTCATAAGATAACATTTTTTCCACGCCTTACACACTTCATTTGTCTGAGACGTTTGTTGTTGAGAACATTAGATGTAAACATCCCGAAATTATGCTATTTAAGTACCAATTTGTAATGTTGTATTTAGCGTAAGATATAGAACAAAACCTTTGCTCTTTTTGAGATGTTTTTGCATGAAAACGAAGCCCCAGGCCTCGTACAGGCTGACGTTGTTACCACGGCAACAAGAGCGCAGCAACTTTCGAAAAAGGCATTTTTGTGCATCCCCCTGAGTGCCCAACTGCAT